TTGTGTTTGTTTAAGATTTCGGCAATCCTTTTGGTAACCCTTGTTATGTATGGTACGGTGATGGTTTTTATTGGGTCTTCAGATGGTTCTCTACCCATGGTTGGGGATGCAGCTTTGCGGATTGTGCGGTCAGAATATCCATTCCTCCTGAGAGCCTGGCATACGTGTTCAAGCTCACTGGCTAGGTGGTGCTGGTTGGAGATGCAACGAGTTTGTTTGTATACGTTCGATGATTCAAGGATTATTCTGGTGAACGAGTTGCACGGATAGGAGAACAATTGTAAAATGTCGGAGTAATTGTGTATTAACCCTCGTTACTCTACCTCTTCAGTGTCGCTGTATGCATCATCATCATCATCATTTTTCAATGTCTCAAGTACTTCTTCTTCCGCCATTTCAATTCAACGCAATAATTATTATGTTACACGGAAAATTGAGCACGTTGCTGCTGCTGCAGTTTGTGACCGATGGTGATTATTAAATGCACTTATTGACGACTAAACGCGCCTGACAAATGTTAATTATCATTGCATTATGACGGTGAGGACGACGATGATAACGATGATGGCGATTATTAATGTGATGGTGACGACAATGATTATGACAATGATGACGATGATGGTGATGATGGTGATGATGGTGACGATGATGGTGACGATGACGATGATGATTACTGTCATAGTGACGACGATGAAAGTGATGCTGGTGAAAATGCTGATGATGACGATGGTGATGATGGTGATGACGATGCTGATGACGTCTCAGTGAACGGCTCTCCTCGCAGACGATGTCGGCACGTTCCGTGAGGCAGACTGTGACTTGTCGCTCGTGATAACGACGATAACAACAAAATCACAAGTCTTCCACGCGGCACGGCCCAGCGCAGCTACGTCTCTGGGGGAGGGGTGGGGCAGCAAGTTGTGGTGACCTGGGGGGCGGGGTGGGTGACCTGGGGGGTGGGTGACCTGGGGGGCGGGGTGGGTGACCTGGGGGGCGGGGTGGGTGACCTGGGGGGCGGGGTGGGTAACCTGGGGGGCGGGGTGGGTGACCTGGGAGCGGGGTGGGTGACCTGGGGGGCGCGGGGGTGACCTGGGGGGCGCGGGGGTGACCTGGGGGGCGGGGTGGGTGACCTGGGGGGCGGGGGGTGGGTGACCTGGGGGGCGGGGTGGGTGACCTGGGGGGCGGGGTGGGTGACCTGGGGGGTGGGGGGGGTGACCTGGGGGGCACGGGGGTGACCTGGGGGGCGGGGGGGGTGACCTGGGGAATTGGGGGGGGGGGGTGATCTGGGGGGCGCGGGGGTGACCTGGGGGGCGGGGGGGGTGACCTGGGGGGCGGGGGGGTGACCTGGGGAATTGGGGGGGGTGAGTTTCTGTGTCGAGGGTCACAGGAGAACTTTCCGCAACAGCACCAAGTCGCCCCGAAGTGGATGTGACGTCACCACGGGGGTGCCAGCCTAGGTGTACGTTGAGGCCGTCACGTGAAGTGTCGTCGAAGGCTCGCTGCTGGTTTGAGGTCAAGGGACAGACCCCCAGGTTCCAGGTGTTATAGGTTGACCGACCCGACGGAGATGCCCGGCAGATGCACCACCTGTGCCCCATCACCGCACCAGCTGGCGGCCGTGTTCGTTTCATCCGCCCGGCGTTCCGCTCGCTGTTGCGAGCGCCGCTCCTCCGCCCTCCGTTGTTGCTGGCGGACGACTGCCTCCAATTAACGCAGCCTCCAACACACCACAACCACCACCACCATCACCACCCACGTACCTTATACACTACTCCATCCGTCTGAGGTCGGCAGAACGGGTAAACAACATTGTGGAACGCCAACACGAGCCGTCTCATCTACTCGCGCCTGCCACAGGAACGTGGAATACGGGGCTCGTACCATCAACAGACGACGCGTGAAGTTCTCGTCCTGGTAGTAGTACGTGGGCTGATGGGAGGCGTGCCACGGCATGGAGGGAGGGGGTTGGAGTGGGTGAACACCCTAGGTCATTTAGACCCAGAGTCCTTGAAGAGGGGAGAAGGAGCGGGGGCGGTGACAGCCCCCCCCCTTTCACCCCCCCTTTCACCCCCCCCCCCAATTCCGCCTCCAACGTGGCCCCCAGACATCACCCAAGGCCGAACCTCGAACCAAAGCCTAAAAATACACGGAGAGAGAGAGGGCAGCGATGACGCGTCAAGCGTCACGTCCTTGTATTTATTTTGAGATGACAGCTTTGCTCATGTATGTATGCATGTATGTATTTATTCATGTGTGTATGCATGTATGTATTTAATCACGTGTGTATGCATGTATGTATTTATTCATGTGTGTATGCATGTATGTATTTAATCACGTGTGTATGCATGTATGTATTTAATCACGTGTGTATGCATGTATGTATTTATTCATGTGTGTATGCCTGTATGTATTTAATCACGTGTGTATGCATGTATGTATTTAATCACGTGTGTATGCATGTATGCTCTCATGTATGCGTACGTGTGTATTTTGTCATCACGTATGGTGAACGGTGGACGCAGCGGTTAGCACGCCACGACCAATAACAGGGGTGAATAATTTGAACCGGTCCTGGGCATCCCATAGGTCGACTCGGCGTTAAATGTTGGTGTGTGGTGGCGGTGTTTAGATATCAGCAATGGGGAGACAAAGGCGGCCGGGCGTGTTGCTGCCCACACAACAACCTCGTGTGCCGTTCCGGCCTTTGTAGGTGCTACTCGTTCGCAGCACTTGTCCCAACAGTCTGTTCACGGTACAGTGAGGGAAACAAGTATTTGATCCCCTGCTGATTTTGTACGTTTGCCCACTGACGAAGAAATGATCAGTCTATAATTTTAATGGTAGGTTTATTTGAGCAGTGAGAGACAGAATAACAACAAAAAATCCAGAAAAACGCATGTCAAAAATGTTATAAATTGATTTGCATTTTAATGAGGGAAATATGTATTTGACCCCCTCTCAATCAAAAAGAATTCTGGCTCCCAGGTGTCTTTTATACAGGTAACGAGCTGATATTAGGAGCACACTCTTAACGGGAGTGCTCCTAATCTCAGCTTGTTACCTGTATAAAAGACACCTGTCCACGGAAGCAATCAATCAGATTCCAAACTCTCCACCATGGCCAAGACCAAAGAGCTCTCCAAGGATGTCAGGGACAAGATTGTAGACCTACACAAGGCTAGAATGGTCTACAAGACCATTGCCAAGCAGCTTTGTGAGAAGGTGACAACAGTTGGTGCGATTATTCGCAAATGGAAGAAACACAAAAATAACTGTCAATTTCCCTCGGCCTGGGGCTCCATGCAAGATCTCACCTCGTGGAGTTGCATTGATCATGAGAACGGTGAGGAATCAGCCCAGAACTTCACGGGAGGATCAATGATCTCAAGGCAGCTGGGACCATAGCCACCAAGAAAACAATTGGTAACACACTACGCCGTGAATGACTGAAATCCTGCAGCGCCCGCAAGGTCCCCCTGCTCAAGAAAGCACATATACATGCCCGTATGAAGTTTGCCAATGAATATCTGAATGATTCAGAGGACAACTGGGTGAAAGTGTTGTGGTCAGATGAGACCAAAATGGAGCTCTTTGGCATCAACTCAACTCGCCGTGTTTGGAGGAGGAGGAATGCTGCATTTGACCCCAAGAACACCGTCAAACATGGAGGTGGAAACATTATGCTTTGGGGGTGTTTTTCTGCTAAGGGGACAGGAAAACTTCACCACATCAAAGGGACGATGGACGGGGCCATGTACCGTCAAATCTTGGGTGAGAACCTCCTTCCCTCAGCCAGGGCATTGAAAATGGGTCGTGGATGGTTATTCCAGCATGACAATGACCCAAAACACACGGCCAAGGCAACAAAGGAGTGGCTCAAGAAGAAGCACATAAAGGTCCTGGAGTGGCCTAGCCAGTCTCCAGACCTTAATCCCATAGAAAATCTGTGGAGGGAGCTGAAGGTTCGAGTTGCCAAATGTCAGCCTCGACACCTTAATGACTTGGAGAAGATCTGCAAAGAGGAGTGGGACAAAATCCCTCCTGAGATGTGTGCAAACCTGGTGGCCAACTACAAGAAACGTCTGACCTCTGTGATTGCCAACAAGGGTGTTGCCACCAAGTACTAAGTCATGTTTTGCAGAGGGGTCAAATACTTATTTTCCTCATTAAAATGCATATCAATTTATAACATTTTTGACATGCGTTTTTCTGGATTTTTTTGTTGTAATTCTGTCTCTCACTGTTCAAATAAACCTACCATTAAAATTATAGACTGATCATTTCTTCGTCAGTGGGCAAACGTACATAATCAGCAGGGGATCAAATACTTTTTTCCCTCACTGTATATTCATGAACTGTTCGCCTTTTGGCGTTCTCTGACAGTTGTGAGACTATGTCATAAAAAGGCCGTCTTGTGTACGTAAATCAGTGTCAAAGACAATACCAAATATTATCAGAGCCACGTGTTTGTTTGCATGTTCACCACAAGTAATGTGTGTGTGGTTAATGCAGTAAAAAGGTTTCTATTTGGTGTGTGAACATCTTAACACAACTGTTTTATTGGCAGTAAGGGGGGGAACCTATTCTTAGTTGTCATAGTCTTAGTAGTCTTAGTTGTCATAGTCTTAGTTGTCATAGTCTTAGTAGTCATAGTCTCAGTTGTCATAGTCGCAGTTGTCATAGTCTCAGTTGTCATAGTCTTAGTTGTCATAGTCTCAGTTGTCATAGTCTCAGTTGTCATAGTCTTAGTTGTTATAGTCTCAGTTGTCATAGTCTTAGTTGTTATAGTCTCAGTTGTCATAGTCTCAGTTGTCATAGTCTTAGTTGTCATAGTCTCAGTTGTCATAGTCTCAGTTGTCATAGTCTCAGTTGTCATAGTCTCAGTTGTCATAGTCTCAGTTGTCATAGTCTCAGTTGTCATAGTCTCAGTTGTCATAGTCTCAGTTGTCATAGTCTTAGTTGTCATAGTCTTAGTTGTCATAGTCTTAGTTGTCATAGTCTTAGTTGTCAGTCTTAGTTGTCATAGTCTTAGTTGTCATAGTCTTAGTTGTCTTAGTCTTATTTGTCATAGTCTTAGTTGTCATAGTCTCAGTTGTCATAGTCTCAGTTGTCATAGTCTTAGTTGTCATAGTCTTAGTTGTCATAGTCTTCATAGTCTTAGTTGTCATAGTCTCAGTTGTCATAGTCTTAGTTGTCATAGTCTTAGTTGTCATAGTCTTAGTTGTCATAGTCTTAGTTGTCATAGTCTCAGTTGTCATAGTCTCAGTTGTCATAGTCTCAGTTGTCATAGTCTCAGTTGTCATAGTCTCAGTTGTCATAGTCTCAGTTGTCATAGTCTCAGTTGTCATAGTCTCAGTTGTCATAGTCTCAGTTGTCATAGTCTCAGTTGTCATAGTCTCAGTTGTCATAGTCTCAGTTGTCATAGTCTCAGTTGTCATAGTCTCAGTTGTCATAGTCTTAGTTGTCATAGTCTCAGTTGTCATAGTCTCAGTTGTCATAGTCTCAGTTGTCATAGTCTCAGTTGTCATAGTCTCAGTTGTCATAGTCTTAGTTGTCATAGTCTTAGTTGTCATAGTCTCAGTTGTCATAGTCTCAGTTGTCATAGTCTCAGTTGTCATAGTCTCAGTTGTCATAGTCTCAGTTGTCATAGTCTTAGTTGTCATAGTCTTAGTTGTCATAGTCTCAGTTGTCATAGTCTCAGTTGTCGTAGTCTTAGTTGTCGTAGTCTCAGTTGTCATAGTCTCAGTTGTCATAGTCTCAGTTGTCATAGTCTCAGTTGTCGTAGTCTCAGTTGTCGTTGTCTTAGTTGTCATAGTCTCAGTTGTCATAGTCTCAGTTGTCATAGTCTCAATTGTCATAGTATTAGTTGTCATAGTCTTAGTTGTCATAGTCTCAGTTGTCATAGTCTCAGTTGTCATAGTCTCAGTTGTCATAGTCTCAGTTGTCATAGTCTCAGTTGTCATAGTCTTAGTTGTCATAGTCTCAGTTGTCATAGTCTCAGTTGTCATAGTCTCAGTTGTCATAGTCTCAGTTGTCATAGTCTCAGTTGTCATAGTCTTAGTTGTCATAGTCTCAGTTGTCAGTCTCAGTTATCATAGTCTTTGTTGTCATAGTCTCAGTTGTCATAGTCTCAGTTGTCATAGTCTCAGTTGTCGTTGTCTTAGTTGTCGTTGTCTTAGTTGTCATAGTCTTAGTTGTCATAGTCTCAGTTGTCATAGTCTCAATTGTCATAGTATTAGTTGTCATAGTCTTAGTTGTCATAGTCTCAGTTGTCATAGTCTTAGTTGTCTTAGTCTTAGTTGTCAGTCTTAGTTGTCATAGTCTCAGTTGTCATAGTCTTAGTTGTCATAGTCTCAGTTGTCATAGTCTCAGTTGTCATAGTCTCAGTTGTCATAGTCTCAGTTGTCATAGTCTCAGTTGTCATAGTCTTAGTTGTCATAGTCTCAGTTGTCAGTCTCAGTTATCATAGTCTTTGTTGTCATAGTCTCAGTTGTCATAGTCTTAGTTGTCATAGTCTTAGTTGTCATAGTCTTAGTTGTCATAGTCTTAGTTGTCATAGTCTCAGTTGTCATAGTCTCAGTTGTCATAGTCTCAGTTGTCATAGTCTTAGTTGTCATAGTCTCAGTTGTCATAGTCTTAGTTGTCTTAGTCTTAGTTGTCAGTCTTAGTTGTCATAGTCTTAGTTGTAATAGTCTCAGTTGTAATAGTCTCCGTTGTAATAGTCTCAGTTGTCATAGTCTCAGTTGTAATAGTCTCAGTTGTAATAGTCTCAGTTGTAATAGTCTCAGTTGTAATAGTCTCAGTTGTCATAGTCTCAGTTGTCATAGTCTTAGTTGTAATAGTCTCAGTTGTCGTAGTCTTAGTTGTCGTAGTCTTAGTTGTCGTAGTCTTAGTTGTCGTAGTCTCAGTTGTCGTAGTCTTAGTTGTCATAGTCTTAGTTTTCATAGTCTTAGTTGTCATAGTCTTAGTTGTCATAGTCTTAGTTGTCAGTCTCAGTTGTCGTAGTCTTAGTTGTCATAGTCTCAGTTGTCATAGTCTCAGTTGTCATAGTCTCAGTTGTCATAGTCTTAGTAGTCATAGTCTCAGTTGTCATAGTCTCAGTTGTCATAGTCTCAGTTGTCATAGTCTTAGTTGTTAGTCTGCCAAGGGGTTGACGTTGACGCGAGGAGTAAAGATTCAGACGGCCTGGGTTCGACTCCCAGTCGCTCGCATCCGTGGCATCTGAGACACTCGGCGTGCAGGGCATCCGCGTGAACATTGGAGACACCAACCGATGCTGCCGTTTACCCACAACACCGGGTACTTGGTTAAGGCTAAGTTAACCTGGGGGAGCGGGCAGAACAAGTTCGAATATCACGCGCCACTGATGTTAGCCGTGGCCGGGTAATCCAACTGTGGTTGCTGGGGTTGGTAACGCAGTGCACCGACCGGTACCACACCGCTCCTACAGACACACAGACGCGCACTCTCACACCCACGTGTGCCGAGATGTACACACCGCACCGGCTACTACTAATTTAAGGCCGAGTGGAACCAAGGAAGTTCCAGAACAGGTTCAGATACCGTGTGCCACCCATGTCTCACTATCAATGTCCCCAATTCACCCCCCTCCTTCCCCGGGTGCTGGACCACATCTGGAAACCGTAGGCGGGTGGCCATCATAAGAGTGCACGGCGCGAGGCAGGTGGGGCACGGGCGAACGCACCTGGAGGCGGGGGTCGGTGGGGGAGGCAGGGGGAGGGGAGGGGATGCACACACAGAACCTGAATTCCAGGTGCACCTAGCCAGGCACAGACAAGGTCCTGGGGGGAAACCGGGCGAGGAGTGGACGTTCTTGTACCTAGCTGGGCATGCACACACACATCAGGCAGAGAGATACACACACAAGACAAATATCTCTCGTGTAGCCGTATTGATTAGAGGGGCACGTGCGGTGCGCGATCACCTATTATGTTCGGGACAGCACGCGAGAATGCGATATGACCAGCAACACGCCCCACCGCCCTTCATCTTCGCAGTGCCGTTCCAGAGAGCTCACACACACACGCACTGCACCCCAGTACTTTAATTTGTTTTTGCACGGTGGTCAGGTATTGAACCTAGGTAGCCGGGGTCTGAGCGGGCAGTGCGAGTGGGAGGACCAGCTGCATCTCGTGGAATTGCACGTGGGAGACAGAGCCGTCCCAATTTGCCGCTTCCTACAGCAGCACTCAGCTCGCCAATCAGTGCGGAGCCGAGACCGAATTCAATTTGTGGATTTATTCTCCTCTGCAGAGCTGCATTATCAAAGCGATAATAGGCAGAAAACCAAGGCAAAAAAGCACCAGCACCGCAACCACTACCACCATTACCACTACCAACATCATCATCACCACCATTATCACCGCCGCCACCACAACCACCACCGCCACCATTACCACCAATACCACCGCCACCATTACCACCAATACCACCACCACCAACAACCACCACTACTGCCACAACAATAATCACACGCCCGTTTCACAGTCACGTGTACGGGAGCTGTCCATGCACAAATTGGTACTCAATTTTTGGCCTCCGGTGGAGGGAATGATTGAGGATGTATGTGGGGGTGATGACGGACATATGATGAAGATGATGATTGTACGACTGCTGCTGATGGAGATAGATTGTAGTTGATATGCGCGTCATGGTTCTCAACGTGTTTACATTCTTATCATGGCGATGGATCCGTTAGTATTTATATTAGACGTTGATGCCGATGTTCATAGACTGTTTCTTTCGGTAAAGTCACGTAGTTAGAAATAAAAAAATCACGACTTTAACGAAAGAACCAAAGAGTATGGATTCCTGCAGTCACGAAAGCTTCAAATCAAGATTGACTGTTCTGCTGTTATTGATATGCCAACGATGACATTTCCATCATCCTGGATATTTTAAGATAAACGATGATAGATTATTGATGATGGTGATGATGATGAGACTATAAGAGCTGTCTTGAAGGACTTGTCATCCGAGTATGAAGAGGAGATCTGGTGCCAGATACCGATTGCACCTTACTGTCGCATCAACTGCACTGACCGCGATAACCTCTTCACCTTAAATGGGCTGAAAACTTTGGTATTTATTTCAGGAAGGGCAGTAACCACAGCGCCCCCCCCCCGGCCCCCACCCCTCAGTTCTGGTCAGTTCCCGGGGCTGCCGGCGACTGCTGTGGAAACTTACCAAGCGCACCGTGAATACAGTCGCTTTGAAATGGAATCGTGCGCAAAAACATCGTCATCACACCTCGGAAGCTGCGAAGGAGTTTGAGCCCAGACAGTGCTTGGATTGGGCTGACAAATCAATTCTTAGCGATCGATTGACCCGAGTGGTGAAGTATGGTTAAAATAAACGCCGACATTCAGCAGTGATTTGACAAAACCCTGGGTGCACATGTTCACCGGCTACTGTACCGTAGACCTCGCACACTTGTTAATTTACGTTTATTCGAGTTGATTTTTTTTTGTCTCGAGAGATAAATGTGTGAACGTGTGAACAAGCGAACGATGCATGTACGTAGCACGTACGTTTCGGGCTTCGGTGGTTCCGTTCTTTGCTTTGTCCCCCTCGGGCCGCCAGGCCACGCGGTCAATGCCAACAGCACGTGACCCTGCAGGTGTGCGGGACAGGTGGCCTGGAGGGACGCAGGAGAGGAGGGGGGTGGAGCAGAGACACGGACGGAAAGGGCTCAGAGTGGAAACCTCAACTCCGGCGGTGATGGGACTGTGAACTTGTATGTGCGTCAGTTTAACACGTAGGCTTTCGCGACCAATATTATTCATAATAAAGGGTTTTGGGTTAGATCGCGTTATTTATAAATGTGTCGTAACCCTCCACCACCCGATACGGCCAATCAGCGAAAAAAGTGTCACGTTGACAAAAGACAATAAGTTCACTACTTTAGCCCACCGGTGTGTTGAAGAGTGAATCCACAACATTTACAGTTTGAGTACGACGTTTCGCTGGTAATTACATCCAGCATCATCGGGCAATTCGCCAGAATGGTAAAGCCCTCGCTTGCTCTCGGTCTTAAATAGAGCAGCTCATGTTAATGATTATGTATGTGCGTACTGTATGTTGAACTTCTTTCGCACCGTACGTTGCCAACGGTGCTAATCAGAGGCGCGGGGAAGGACAACTAAACTGGATCTCATACACGTCCCCCCCCGCTACCCCCTCTCTCTCTCTACATTGATTACACCCAGAAGACTGCCAATATTTTCTCATCCTCCCACCATCGCCGAGTCGTGACCAGGTAGCGCACATAGATCATAATTGGCGCGTTACGGTACCCAGAAACCGGGCCGGCACCGCTGACAAACCCGGGTTCGAGTCCCGGGTTATAGCCACCGCCCGTGGCGAGTTCCGTTCAAGGGGAGCGAGTCCGAGCCGATGGCCTCGCTCCGATCACCAAATGACTCTTGCACCCACTCGAAGCCGTCGGCTCGGTGGTTCTCCGTCGAGTCGGCGTTGAATCGGCGTTGCTGCGGCGAGCGAGGGAGCGCTTTGCGACACCAAGGCGTCGGATAACGGGCAATTGAAGCGACACCAGCAGCAGTGAGATGATTGTAACCATCATGCTTTACGAGTCGTAAGACTCTTATTCAGGAAGGTTTCTGCTGTTGGTACATTTAAAAAAAATATTTATTCTACGATGGTTTTCAGTCCCAATTAATTGCGAGTGTTATTTTACGTACGGGAGGAGGAAATGGGATCACCCGGAGTAAAAGCCGAACGCCTTTGCACGACTGGGGGCGACACCGCTCTGTCCCCCGTACAGATGGCAACAGATGAAGATGAGTGCACTCCGCCGGCACTGCCGACTGCCCCCTCCGAGGGAGCGTTCTCGCAGCACACCGCGGGGTAAGCTGCTCGCTGCACCATTTCCGCTTGCGAACGCTTTCGTCTCGCCAGACCTGACGCCGATATCCGACAATTGGCCTATAAATAGTGGGAAACAGAATGAATAATTTACATAATTGTTACATGTATAGTAAGGCCAAACTTTAAAAAAAAAATCATAATCAGCAATCCAGTCACATGGTCTGCCGAGCAACGGCTCCCACCTCTTCCTCTCTCTCCCCACTCCATCTACACCTGCCCGTCATGAGCCAGGATCAATCCACTGCTGGACGAGAGCCAGCCCAAGTGGTCGCCGCCTGTCTCTGGCCTGCCGAGTAACAACAATCCCACCTAGCACCTTGCCCATGAGCCGATTTCGCGGCTCCATCTCCACAGCCGCTCTCCCCGCCTGCCCTCCTCGACGCTTCCTCGGCCGAGCAAATCGAGAACATTTAAATTCTTCGTCCGAAGCGACAGCGAACGCGCGCACAAAAGCCGCCCTCCTCTGCCGCTCGCGCGCGACCGTGACGGGCACGCGCTTTGTTAGCGAGCACCTATTGAAAGGCCGGAACGAGGCAAGGTGGGCTGCAGGGGGGTGGGCGGCGGTTGGGCGGTCAACGCCAAGGCAGGCGCGGCCGCCTTTGTCTTCCCGGCTATTGTGTTGGCAAGGACAATGCATGAGCGGCAGGTGGTGGTTTTGGGACACGAGTTGACCCATGGGAGATTCGGGTCGTGTGTTTGGAGTCGAGTAGCCACTCGGGTGTGCGCGTGTGTGCGCGTGTGTTCAAAGTGCACCTAGCATGGCACAAGCGCCGTGGTGACGTCACCGCCACCTGGTGGCGACCGGCGCTTCTTGTGGATGACTTCTTGTGTGGGGTGGGGGAGCGGTGGCGCAGCGGTTAGCGCTACGCCGCGCTACGAACCCGGCGACGACGACACCAGTTCGATTCCCACTCGCGGCCAACACCAGTGACGATTATTTGAACCGGTCCTGGGCATCTCCTAGTTCGACTCAGCCTGCAAAACGAGTACCTGATGCAGTGTAAGCATCAGCACTGGGAAGACAAAGGCGGCCAGGTGTGGTGTTGGCCACACACCCCCCCGTGTGCCACAGTGCCGGACTTTATTAGGTGCTCACTAACAGCACTTGCCCCAACAGCCTGTGTAGACTATATGGGGAATCTTTGTCTTTGCCCGTTTTGAGCGGATTTACGCGTTATACTCGAATTAAAAATTTGCCCTTTTTCTTTTTGAAACCATCGCCCTCTGCTGCGAAAACGTGGCAGGAGCATCCTGAAGAGAGAGGCGCAAGACTCGGCGAGTCTCTCCTGGGCAAGACGAAGCGTAATCATCGGACTACAACTCGTAACAACAAACGTCATCTATTCCCTGCGCGTCCTGGCTGGCTGCTGGCTGGTCTCCTCACCACCGCAGCAACACCAGCTCTGGTGCCAACGAAACTAGCTGGGTAACTGGCTAGGCCGGGATTTATGAATGCATTGAATTATAGGTAGCGACACCGAAGGGGGTTAAGAGAAACGAATACAGCAAAACCGACAATTAATTTAACATTTCTCCAACTTTTAACATGTGCGCTCCTATTAAGGTAAATATTTCTCCAGAATGTTTTTTTTTAATGCTAAGCAATGTAAGACAAATCCCGCAATTCATCTTTGCATATTATTGTTACGTAACAAGATCAGATTTTCTTTCGTGCTCCGAGTAACAAGAAGTTTGTGAGAAGAGCATGGACGTGATGTTATCTGTATATTATTTACCGTTGCAGAACACGCGTGTACATTCACACACACACACACCTGGAAATGCACGCACAGGTAAGTCACCGCGAGGCGTAGCGAGTTCACACGTGGTAGAGGTTACGCACGAGGAGGCACGCGCCTTGAGACGCACAGCCCCGTCACGCGTTGGCAACAATCGTTGTAACCACACCGGACGCACGACCCTAACTATACAAAGGTAGAGTTCGCCCGTGTAGCCTCGTGCACTGTTTGGGCCAAGTGCGTCGAGCGAGCGCCTATTCAGGCCGGAACTGAATAAAAAAGCAGGGGTGGGTTGGCCAGCACCACGCCGTCTTCGTCTTCCCAGCGCTGATGTTTACACAGCGCACCGGGCACTCATTTAGGGCCGAGTAGACCTAGAGGAGGCTCAGGACAGGTTAATGTATTCGTCAGCGATGTTGACTGTGTGCGGGAATCGAACTCGGATCGCTGGGTTTATCGTGCAGCGCGCTATCCACCGTCCCACCGCTCCCCCTCACCCCCACACGCCTACACACGCGCATACGGTTATACACACACAACACACATGTGAACACGCATGTGAACACACAGATAAGCACATGCGAGTGAACGCTTTAGGCGCCATCAAGCTCACCTGCCGGGAAGCCTTGAAACGGGTGAACAGGTGAGTAGCTGGGCTGGTGAGCAGGTGGGAGGAAAGCTGCTGAGCAGCTGAGCTGCTGAGCAGGTGAACAGACGAGCAATTGGGTAGGTGAGCTGCTAAGCAGGTGAAGTGGTGATCATGCAGTGAAGCTATTGAATAGGTTAGCTGGTGAGCAGGTGGGTAGGTGAGGTGGTAACCAGCTGCTGCGCTGGTGAACAGGTGAGTAGGCGAGGTGGTAGCCAGCTGCTGTGCTGGTGAACAGGTGAGCAGGTGAGTAGGTGAGGTGGTAACCAGCTGCGCTGGTGAACAGGTGAGTAGGTGAGCTGGTGAACAGGTGAGTAGGTGAACTGGTGAACAGGTGAGCTGGTGAACAGGTGAGTAGGTAAGCTGCCCCGCGCGCCACGTGGTAACTCCACGTGAAATCCACAAGGAGCGCGCTTGGGAAAACGCGGCCTTTATTGCTACGCGGGGTCTGAGGGAGGAGCCACGTCCTGATTGACAGGTGTGTGTGGGGGGGAGGGGGTGCTCGATGGAGGAGGTGGAGGAGGGGGGGATACGAGAGTGAAATCATCCGACCACCGAATCAACCCTGAATGGGCGACCGATCTCATCATATCTCAGAGGCTAAGCACGGCCTGATTGCTGCTTGGAGTGGAGACTGATCTGGAGTGCCAGGTGTTACGGGCTCGAGATGGCAGCATGGCTACGGGGTTATCGACTCAGTGTGTGCGGAGATTCGAATGCTGTCCCCCCTCGATGCGTGCGGTGTTCCCCGGGTCCCCTGGTTTACCTTCCCACACACCACGCCAGACTCTCACTGATGAATAACACAAAACAACAAGAATAATTTTCACAACTTCATCATTATCCCTGAAACGTTGACAATGATGTTTTTTTTCCCCCCACTTTAGTCCACAGTGTTATTGATGAATGTGTTGAGTCGTTGTTGTGTTTGTGGTAGTAGTGGTTGTGATTGTCGTTGTGATTGTGGTGGTGGTAGTGGTGATAATTGTGAAGAGTGATGTGCGTAATCATTTAAGCACTGTTGTGTTTCCAGTAACCTTAGTTGAATTCCTAACCATGCTGGACCAGTTCTGAGCGTCCCCTAGGTCTGCTCAGCCGATTAGCACGGTTGGCTACGTACGGTCTGAAAGAATACTCTTTGTGTTTTTTTTCGGTAAAGTCACGTAAGTAAAATAAATTAAAACAACATGCAAACATACAGAACCTGTACGACTATAGCCTGACGCAGACAACCATGTAACTTGTATATAGCTACTTAGCATGGAACAACGAATCGATGCATTGATTTAAACACACACTTGAGATTCAATCGGTGTTGACCACGAAATATTTAATCGACAAATCGACGCATCCTTCCACCCCTACCCCTCCAGTGCAATGACATTTGTAAAGTCCTGGAGCGGCACCGGGGCGACGTCACTGGAGTGATGCTGACAGTCACTTCGGCGACTTTGTCAGCGAGGAAGAACAATCGTGCATACGCACGGATTATGCAGCCATGTCCAACACACCGTTTGTGTTATGGGATACCTTTTTAGCCAGCATCAAAGTATGAAACATAAGAATGGGTTTTAGCCTTTTCTGGAAATAAAACAGGCGGTGTTAAGATGTTCAAGCACCAAATAGATTCCTTTTGCGAGGAATCAAGTTACTGCATTAACAACACACAGTACTTGCGGTGAACATGCAAATAAACATGCTCTGACAATATATGCAAAATTTATTCATTTGGTGTTTCAACGTCTCGACACCTGTTTCATTGACCAAAAAAGGCAAAACCTTTTCTTATTTTTCAGACCTTTTGTTCTCGGAAGCAATAATTTAATCAACAGTACGGAAGTCGACGGGTATCGATAAGAGCATGACGCTTATTTATTTTTTCAAAGTACTTTTAGCGCTGGTTTGGTTATCCAAGTTTCGTGCATTAAAACGCTTCGATGAACGTGGCCGGATTTCTCAAACAGTAAGTCCCTGATATCAACCCAAAGTTACGATCAAGTTTCCTTCCCATCGGAGATCATCTTCCTGGTTCTTTCGGTAAAGTCACGTAGAATGGAAATAAAATAATAAAAATAAAACCAGGAAGATGAATCACTGCAGTCACGAAAGCTTTAAATCGAAAATTAAAATCGGAGATCATCTTGTGCGGACGGCCGCTAAGAGCTGCTCGTGATTAACCGCGCTTCAGCGGGTCGTTGGTTCGCAAAGCATAAAGCACAGCTCCGTTTCGCGGTGACGTGAAAGTAAACTAAATGTGTCAACCAAATAAATATCAGCGCCTGACCAAGCAAGCGAACTCTGGAGCAGTTTCGACGTCCTGGGTTTCATCAGCAGAGTGTGAGCCTCTTGCCAAAACAAAGCGTTCACATCGCTACCCAACGCCGAAACCACGATTCGTGACGCTTCTCGGCTCGCATCATCATCTCGTTCTCTCCATCATCATTATCATCTCCTTCTCTCCATCATCATCATCCCCCTCTCTCCATAATCATCATCATCATCATCTCTCCATCATCATCATCTCGTTCTCTCCATCATTATCATCTCCTTCTCTCCATCATCATCATCATCCCCCTCTCTCCATAATCATCATCATCATCTCCCTCTCTCCATCATCATCATCATCTCCCTCTATCCATCATCATCGTAATTTCCCTCTTTCCATCATCATCATCTCGCTCTCTCCATCATCATCATCTCCCTCTCTCCATCATCATCATCTCCCTCTCTCCATCATCATCATCTCCCTCTCTCCAACATCATCATCATCTCCCTCTCTCCAACATCATCATCTCCCTCTCTCCATCATCATCATCATCATCATTTCCCTCTCTCTCCATAATCATCATCATCTCCCTCTCTCCATCATCATCATCATCATCTCCCTCTCTCCATCATCATCATCATCATCATCTCCCTCTCTCCTCCTCCATCATCATCATCATCATCTCCCTCTCTCCAGCATCATCATCTCCCTCTCTCCATCATCATCATCATCATCTCCCTCTCTCCATCATCATCATCATCATCATCTCCCTCTCCATCATCATCATCATCTCCCTCACTCCATCATCATCATCATCATCTCCCTCTCTCCTCCACCATCATCTCCCTGCATCAGCATCATCCCCCATCATCATCTCCCTCCATTATCATCTCCCCCTATCATCATCATCATCCGCCTCCATCATTATCACCCCCGTCCATCATCATCATCATCATCGTCCACCTCCCACTCCTCCTCCCCCATCACAACCACACTCCCTTCTCCTCCACCATTCCCAAGGTGGGCGTATCATCGGTCGTGCGGTGTGTGTGGGGATGTGTATGGGAGGGGTGTATGGGGGGCG